TCACAAGGGTACACACATACGCGCACACGCACGCACACGTACACACATAAACACACACAAACACACACACACTCACACTCACTCACACTCTCACTCTCACACAACGCGAGTAATGGTACCACTTCATCCAACAAAATTGTACAAGATGTTCAGTGTTAAGTCAAGGGTAATTAGAAACTTGTTAATGTTTTTTTGCTCAACTTTGAACCGAAAGATTTTCAGCTCTTTTTAACGTTGTTTATTTGTCTCGTGAACATCTCGAGTGAAAGAGATACGGAAAGTGTGAAAAGCTAGGATTTTTTTTTGTGTGTGTTGCTGCCCTTTGTTTACAGAAAAAAATGGGAGGGGGGTAGTTTTTTTTTATAATCTATGTAACGTTTTACGTTTTATCGACAGCGAGAAGAGAACGATTAAAACGGCTCTTATATCCGGGAAGAAAACTTTTTTGTCATGTCCAGTGAATGGTCAACGGAGATTGATGGAGACTGGAGGCTTTTACTTGCTGGGGAAAGAAAGAGAAAAAGAAGGAGAGTGAGAGACTTAATGTCCTTTTCTCTATCTGTCTGTCTGTCTGTCTTCCCTCCCTCCATCTCTCCCCCTTTTCACCCTTCCCTCCACCCCTCTCTCTCTCTCTCTCTCTCTCTCTCTCTCTCTCTCTCTCTCTCTCTCTCTCTCTCTCTCTCTCTCTCTCTCTCTCTCTCTCTCTCCCTCTCTCTCTCTCCCTCCTTCCCTCTCCCTCCCCCTCCCTCTCCCTCCCTCCCTCCCTCTCTTCCTCCCTCCCCCTCCCTTCTCTCTCTCTCCCCCTCCCCTCCCTCCATCTCTCCTTCCGCTATTTCTCCCTCTCTCTTCCCTCCCTTCCACTCCCCCCCCTCTCTCTTTCCTCTCTCCTTCTGTCCTTCTCTCTCTCTCTCTCTCTCTCTCTCTCTCTCTCTCTCTCTCTCTCTCTCTCTCTCTCTCTCTCTCTCTCTCTCTCTCTCCCCCCTCTCCCTCTCTCCCTCCCTCCCTCTCTGTCTGTCTGTCTTCCTCTTCCTTCTTCCCTTCCTCTATCCTTCCCTCTCTCCTTCTTTCCTTCCCTCACCCCTCCTTTCTTCCCTCCCTCCCTTCCTCCCTCCCACCATTCCATCCCTACTTACCTCAGGTAAAATTAGAGTAGTTTAACCTAAAGTATACAGAAAACAGAACGCTGACCCTCAAAACGTTTTCTCTGGCGATTATGGAAGACAAACTCAAGTAATATGATATATATTACAACTTTAAAGGAGAAAATATGAATTATATGCAAAATATTGCATAGATGAGGAGCTGATATTAGAAAATTTATATGTTTTGTTATTTTTTTTCTTAGATTTAATAAAAGATAAAGAAAACCTTAACTAAATAAAAGATTAAGCTAAATTTATAATATTTATTAATTGATAAGGCAAGTATATCAGTTATTGTTGTTGTTGAAAGTAATAATAATAATGTAATGATAATAATAATAGTAATGACAATAACAGTAACAATGATAGCAATAACATTAGCAATAATAGCAATGATGATAACAATAATAATAATGACAATGATAATGATAATGTTAATTATGAAAATATTGATGATAGTAATGTTACTAATGATTGATGATAAGGAAAATAATAATGATAATGATAATAATATTGATAATAATGAGGAGGATGATAATGATAGTAATAGTAATGATAATAATGATAATGATAATAATAATAATAATGATAATAATAGTAATAATGATATAATAATGATAATAATAATAATGATAATAATAATGATAAAAATATAATTATAATAATAACAATAATAATAATAATATTAATAATAATAATAGTAATAATAATAATAATAATAACTATAATGTTGATAGTAATGAAAAAGGATGATAATGACATTGATAATGATAACGATAATATATATAATAATAATAGTGATGATGATGATGATGACGATGATGATAATATTAATAACAATAATAATAATAATAATGATAATAATAATAATAATAATAATAATAATAATAATAATAATAATAATGGGGATAATGCCATAAATAATAATAACTATGATAATGCTAATGATAGTAATTATACTAATGGTAGTGATGATAATGATAAGTATGGTAATGATGGTAGTAATAAAAATTTTGATAATGATAAGAATACTATTGATAATGATGATAAAGCAATGTTGATGATGATTATGATGATAATGATAATTGTTATAATAATGATGATTATAATAATGATAGTAATGATAGTGATGATAATAATATTCTTGATAATATTGATAGTAATAGTATTAGTGATAATATTAATAATAATAGTAATAATAACAGTAATTATAATGACGATGATTTTAGTATTAATAATAATAATAACAATTATTATTATTTCTTACATATTAGTATTATTGTTGCTGTCATCAACATATGATGATGATGGTGATGATTATGATGATGATGATGTGTGTGTGTGTGTGTTTGTGTGTGCGTGTGTAAGGCTAGACTGATAGTGTATGTCTTCAGCATTTCGGTAACTTCGCGATGTAATTTTTCTTTTCTGAGACAATTTTCGTAGATGCTGGCACACGAGATGGTCCTTTCCGGACCTGTTTTGAAGCATTTAAGAAGCGCATTAAAAGAGCGTCTTCAGGACCCGCTATCGTTGCTCTGGCCATTCTTGTCTTCCTATTTCAGGCGAAGAGGAAAAGTTCCTTCTTATGTTGCTGGCGAATCGTTTGGCGGGGCAGCAGTGAGAACCCCGTATTCCCTGCCCCGCGACCGAGCTCTTTGTCTCGACGCAGCGGCAGCCACCCTCCGTTTTTACCCTTTTTTCCAGGATATTTTCATCTTATTTTCGCTGGAAAGTATTTCAAAAATTGTTTTGTCATGCTAACACTCGGATGTCGTATGTTCACTTTTTTATTAAGGTGTAACCACTGATGTATTCCTTTCCGCTGCTCACTTAGCTCTCCTAATCTTCCAGCGTTACTCGCCGGTACACTATAAAGTAATCACTACAGACAGTGATCTCAGTGAACGCCAATGTGTAACACTCCAATTTGTAAATGAAAAGTCAGGGTGGAACGCTGTATTAATATTATTTATTTATTTATTCTTCTATCCCTTTGTTCTTAAGGGCCGTTCTCATGCTGAGGCGAACTTGGCACAACGACGATATGAAGCGTCGTGTTGTATTTTGTTTATGTTACATTTTGTTCGTTGCCTACTCTTACGTTTGTTTCCTGCGTCCTTTGAACATTCTTTCTTTTTTGCAATCTCTTTTTCCCCCACTTTCGTTGCATCCCTCTTCTTGTCCCAGCTAGCTTCAAAGCTTCGCCGGGTTAGGAAGCTTTTGATAATTATTAGAGGAGATGTGAGAGAGAGAAAGTAAGGGATAGAGAGGAGACAAGGAAAGAGGGGAAAGGGATAGAGCAAGAGGGAGAGGAGAGAGTCAGGTGGCGACCGACCTGGCTTCAAAGCATCGCCGGAATAAGAAGCTTTTGCTAATTTCTCTCCTATTGGATTCGCCGCCTTTGATTCAAGATCCTAATCGCCCTCTCATTGCCTGCCCGCTCTCCACAGGGCCTCTCGAGGGGAGGTTCTCTGCTTCTGCTGCTTTGCTCGCGCTCGGAGACCATTTTCTGCCGGGGGTGTGGGTCGCTGTACATATCCCCCCGTTTTTCTCCTACTCTCTTTCTCCCTCTCTCTCTTCCCTTTCTTTCCCCCTTCCTCTTCCCCTTCCCTTTTCCCTTTCTCTTTCCACTTCCCTTTTCCCTTTCTCTTTCCCCTTCGCCTTTTCCTTTCCTCATCGCCTTTCCATGTAACTTTTCCCTTCCCCTTCCCACCCCTTTCCTCCTCTTGATCTCCTTCCACACCCTCACCCCTCTGTGCCTTTCACATCCTACCCCCCCTTCTTTCCTCTCCTTTCCCTTCATCCCCCCCACCTCCCTTCCGCTCCACCTCACCCTCCTCCTCAATAAAGACACACGTCATCCCCCCTCCCCCTCCCGTGAAAATGTTGCAAATATGACCTCGGTTCGCGTGCAATAATTTTTTTCGTCCCTCGTCCCTGTGATTTTATGGCACGTCTGCGAGAGTGAGTGCCACAGCGGGGGAGGGAAGGGGGAGGGG